GAGTGCTGGGATTAAAGGCGTGCGCCACCACCGCCCAGCCAGGTTTTCTTTTTAACGGACTAGATCCGAACAATAAGGAGTAAGAGATCATATTGTTTCAGAAAGAGGTGTTTTGTTTTGTTTGGGGTTTTTGTTGTGTTTTGTTCTTTTCGAGAAAGATGAGTGGTACCCTTGGAGTAATGTATTGATGCACTTACTCAGAGTCCTCAATATAAAACATTTCTAACTATGGGTGGCATAAAAAAGATGAGTTAGAAATAGTACTTCTCAGGTTTCTAGAAACTGACCTATGAATCATACAAACCCCAAAGTGGAATGAACTAACATAATGCCTGCACCTATGGAAAAGAGGCAGGATGCAGTCTACAGGGATGTGCCAGACAACATGCTTCTTCCCGAATCTAGAGGGAGAGTGGGTGGGGGTGGGGTGGAGGCGAAGGGTCCTCAAAGCATTATAGGGTGCTATCCAACCCAAGAGAAGCAAGAGAAGCTGTATGCTCCCCTTGAGCAGCTTTCATGAACCTGAGCACCTTGAGGTCCCTGTCATTCCCCTCCCTAGTTGTCCTACATCATAGAACACGTTCCAATATGGAGTTTCCCAACAGCAGCATAGGCAGGCAGCACGGTGACTTCTTCCCTGAGGCTGGTGACCCATCCTCTCTGCCTCCGTCTATAATCATTGTTTCACCTGCCTGTTGGAGGAGCACCTCGGTCCTCTCCCCTTCCGAACCCACAAGCCTTCTGAGTTCACAGCCATCCGAGCATTTGACAACTCCCCTCAGATTCTTCAGGACAACACTAGTTTGCTATAGACTAGATGTGGTTGGAGTCAGCCCATGATGGAGAAACCTAAGTGGACTGAATTAAAATTCTTGCCCGCTGAACAGGTTGAAAGTTACCTGGCTCTATTGCATCCCAACTTCCCAACATCTCTCTCTGGCTTTTCATCAAAAGGCAGTGTTCATCCAGACAAGTGCACAGGTTCAGGTAGATGTATTGATGAGTTTTCAGGAGATGAATCTTCCTATAATTAAGAAATAGGATACACGGGGCTGGAGAGAAGGCTCAGCAGTCGAGAAAGAATGCTGCTTTCACAGCCGTTCCCAGCATGCACATCTAGTGTGTCACAAGTGCCGTAACCCAAAGTCTGGAAGATTCAGACCATCTTCTGGCTTCCATGGGCACTGCACTCACATGCACACACCCACCGACAGAAACACAGATGCTTTATTTTTAATACAGTATGTTTTAAAGAACTAGGATACAGGCCTTGAGGTGCATGCCAGTGGTAGAGCATTTGTCTGGAATGTGCAAGGCCTCAGATTCCATCCCCAGCACTACTAATGTGTGTGTGTGTGGGGGGGGGGGAGAGAGAGAGAGAGAGAGAGAGAGAGAGAAATCTCACTGGCCTTATCACCATCACCTCTGTTGCTAGCCAGTTTCTAACACCCAGTTCAGTTTTGCCTGCCTCTTGAAATGCAATTATGCAAGGCTCATTCTTTTATGCCTGGCTTCTCTCTCCCAACCTTATGTGTAAGAGTCACCCATGGGGTTGGGTGTAGATGCAGACTGCTTATTACGTTGCTGTGTAGTATTCCACTGCAGGCCTTTCACCACATCTACTAATCCACTCCAAAGCTGATCCTGTCCCCATGGTTTCTTGTTAGACTTGTATAGACATGCACATGCCTAGCCATTTTGTGCCAGAATCAAAATTCAGAATGTCCTCCTTTGGCAAGTGCACTGGGCTGGAACTAATAAGGTGACATGTGAACCAGGTTCAAAATAGAGCTATTTCCATTCACAGTATCCTCTGGATCGGTACCCTGGGAGGCGGCATCATCCTTACTCAGGAATTAACACCTGATCTTGGAGTCTCCCCCACGGCACCCAGGCTGCCTTGTGTCCCCTCTCTGGTCCTCATCAGGCTCAGTTTCAGCTCAGCTTCTTCACTGTGACCTTCGGGGACAGTAAATGGAGCTTCTTCACCAGAAAACTATCCGGGGTCAACAAAAGTGGACAGAGGGGAACTCAAGATTTCTGGAGACATCTAGATCTCACTGTGGTGGACAATCATGGCAGAAGTTCACAGAGAAGGGTTTATGAAGGTCAAAATGTGTCTCAGCATGTCCTGGGCTCTCGATTCCCACTGAGTGCCATTTCTCAATCACATTTTCAAAATACATCTTCCCTCTCTGTCTTTTCAGAACTTCTGAGGGACTTCCGCCAAGGTTTCTCCTTGGGCCTGAAGTCCCACCTGAGGGGCACAGGTGACTTGGATAGTTAGGAGTTCCCAGACAAGTTCTCAGAAATTTGTCACCAGCTAACTCGGGTTACATTGCCTCTGGCCAGCGAGGGTGGAGCGTCCACCCATGCCTGAGTGCCATGGCTGCTGTTTACGAGCATTTCCAAGACTCACAGAAGCGTGGCCACCCTACATGTTGTGCCTGAGCTGGAAACTTTTGACCCCTTGCTCAAGGTCACAAAACCAGGTGCAAATATTGGATTGGGTAGGCAAGCCTTTAGGGAGGTCAGCCTCTGTGGGGGCACACAGAGCCCAAGTGAGCACAAGCCACGGGTAACAGTCCAGGGTCTATGTTCCCATTGCCAAAGTGACAGGCCGTATGGCCTCAACAACTCCTCGGTGCACCACTTCCTGCTGAGAGAAGGTAGGTGCCTCTCCTCTGCCTTGCTCTCTACTTCCCAAGAAGCCTGGTTACCTCACTTGTGCCTGGAAAATGAAGAATCCAGGGTTAAGAGGAAGGGTCCAAGAGATGGAAAGATGTCCCAATGGTTAAGAGAGCTTGTTGTACAAGTGTGAGGTCCAGAGTTCAGATACCAGAACCCACATACCAAGCTGGATAGCCTTCAAATGCTGTAAATCCTGGCACTCAGTGGACCACTAGTACTTAGTAGCCATCAGTCAGGCTGAAAACTGCAAGCTTTAGGTTCACAGAGCAAGCTTTAGGTTACCTCAAAGGTAAAAGGCAGAGAATCTTAAAGAGGAGAACATCTGATATCCTCCTATGGCCTACATATGTACCATGCACACACATGCACACACACAAGATTCATGCACAAACATGCAGGGTAAAACATACACACACACACACACACACACACACACACACACACACACGTGCGTGTGCGCGCATTTTGTTTTTTAAATAAAAGGTCTGCAATCCCAGCACTTGAGAGGCAGAGACAGGCAGATGTCTGAGTTCAAGGCCAGCCTGAATTCCAGGACAGCAAGGGCTATCCAGAAAAATCCTGTCCCAAAAAACACAAACAAAAACAAAACAAATCAATAAAGGGTCTGATCAAGCACAGATGGCGTAGGGAACTTAACCGGAGCAGCAAACTCGGGCGTCCCATCCATGGGGTCATAGCCCCGTTTCTGATGTCACAGCTTGAAAATTCCGGTCTTGGTCTTATTGGTGTAGGGAGAGAAGTTTTTCCGAGTCACTGATACCCAGCTGTGATGTCTGTGGGAGGTAACTTTGATGTCCCCAGTCAGGTCAGATGACCCTAGTGTGACATGGAAGACGTGTAGTTTGCACACCAAGACCAAGGCAGCAAGGTTAGAGTACCTGGGGATCTGGGAGCACTCATGTGTGCCAGGAAGCAGTGGCAGTCCACACACCCTGAATCTGTCCCCCATGGCCACGTGACAGCCCTCATAGCCCCATGTGCCCCGCCCCACTGACCTCACACTAACAATCTTCCCTCTGGTTCCAGGTGTTTGCCTACGTGGCCACTCTGTTCTACGTGGTCCATGCCGTGTTTTCCTTAATCAGATGGAAGTCTTCATAGGACGGAAGATCCAGAGTTGGAAACCCAGATGGCATTAACTGACCAGCCCTTCTCCCCCATTAACTTCCTAGAGCACAGATATGACGGCAGTGGAGGAAAGAAAACCAGCCAAAAAGCAAACAAGACAAAAACAAAAGGAAGCCATGTTCTGTTTCTCTTGGGTGTCATGTTTACCTTCTGTCAAGGGTTAAGGGCTTGCTGTGTTTAACCTCTGGCTGAGGGAAAAAGGAGCTGTCTTGCCAGGGGTCTCTGCCCTTGACAGGGACAGTGGATGGGAACTTTGATCTGAAGAAATGACGATTTTCCCCTTGACCCGAAGAGCATGTCTTAAGAATAGCCTCTTGGAATTCCCCACAGGCTCTTTAGAGCATTCATCTCCTGGCATGTCTTAGTCTTTGTGGATAGTCCGAATGTCACAGGGACTGAAATTCACCCAACAGAGGTCTCCAGATGTTCATGGTGGATGATGAGCCCCTCTGAAATACTTTATTAAATGCCTTTATATCTTGCTTCAAAGGTATGGGGGTAGAGAGGTTGTTTTTCATTCTCTGGGATCAGGGACACCTTCCAGTCAACTTCTTCCTGAAGAATCTTTTGACTTAACCTGACTCTCAAGGGCCATTTCAGATGTGCATGCTGGGCCACTCTTCCCCAGCTTGACTCACTGAGGACCCCACCATCACAACAATGTCCACCAGGATAGCAGCTCCCTTGTAGGGAGATCCCAGGGTGCTCCACCTTTTTCTTTCAAGACACAGTAGTCTGCTCAATTAGAATTTTCTCAAGCCTTGAGAAAACTAGCTATGGGCATTTCTTCCCTCTCTTCATAAGGCTCATCTAAAATGCTCTGTCTGGGTGTCTGTGGTCTCTCGATGTGTGTGGATACATCTTCAGACCACTCCTTGGGGGAGAAAAGGGACCAGACTGCAGAGTGAAGAGACAGACAATGACTGTTTGTGGCTGCCACATTCCAGGTTAGGGACATCTGACCTGAAAGGAGAAAGCATGATTAAGAAAGATGTGGAGAATCTGGAAAGTCAGATTCCCCCTAGGAGATCTCACCTTGACTCCACGGCTTATAGAAATGAGTGAGAGCGTAGAGTTGGAGCCCCAGATACAGTAGGAGATGAGCGCAACAATTAAATTGGATTTGGGAATTTTTCTACCTTGGTTCTGAGAATGGAACCCAGGGCCTGTGCATGCTGGGCAAACACTCTACTGCTAATCCCACCCTCAGCCTCGAATTGGGTCTTAGGCACGTCCAGGAGGACTTTTGTTATCCCAGCATCACTGGTATCCAAATCTGCCATTTTTCCACTTTACACAGCCACAATTTCATAGTAAAACGTAAGGAAACTAGGAGGTGATATGAAGTTCATTATAATGTTTAACAAAATCTGAAACAGTGTTGACTGGGAAGTCTTACATTTTCAACAAAACTGCACTATAACATTATACTAACCAGCAGCTCAACATGAATGAGGATCACTTTTTGACAGGAGGGAGGGA